TCTCATCAACCTTGATTTGGGTGGACGGTGCCTTTAACATTGCGACAGGAGTACTAACGGGGCTGGCTCTTGTACTGCTTGACATTGCGTTGCGGCATCCCTTCGCAAAATATCGTGACCCGTAGCCAAAAAGTGGAGTCGGGAATTTGGCCGGAGCTGCCTTTAGAGAAGAAAGCGCGTCCCAGCTGCCACCAGAAGATCGTATTTGAAAGTGACGAAGGTAATTCGTTTAGAATATGCCCATTCGTTCGTGCTGGGTCCTGGATATTTCAACAGGAAAAGTGCGAAAATGAAACTTAACAACTGAACAATGATCCTGAGATAGTCGTAGGGAAGCGTAAATTTGCAATATCTTCTTTCGGCCGTAAGACCAATTGGCCGTGAAACTAATATTGTTGTCCACTGAAACAGCCTCTATACATTTTTTCGTCAACTAAGTTCAAGGCACCTGCTACGTGAGATGAGGTTTTTCGTTTTAAAAAGCCGACGCATTATTTCGTATAACTTGCCTCTGATTAGTGCTGATTGTACATAGAATTTCAGAATCTTTCTCTCAACCTGGCGTGTCACCACTTCCTGATAACCGATTTATGCAGCTTCCTTTATATTTACAACGATCAGCGAATTCGGATTCGGAAACTGCGATGTAAGCAAGTCAGTTTTCAGCAAAAATGAGAAGAACGACAGTGAGAAGAACTCGGAGACAAAGATCGGCTAGAGCCGTGCATGAGAACGCCCTAAATGAACGCCATCTGCTGAGAGACTATTTACACTTGTACATCGAAACAATCTCAATGATAGCGCATAACAAAGAGGTCGCGCATATGCCACAAGGGGGACTGTACATGGGAGCTGTGCAACATGGAGGCAACCTGGAATATGTTAGAAGGTGAGTAATGAATGAATGCTAAGGGAAATCCCTGGGTGAATGGCGAAGAGAAGACAAAAGCAGAGACGAATCAGGGTGGCGAGTCGCGTCGCACTTCGGAATCTTAAACGGTGCCTATACAACTCAGCTTTCCTAGTGACACAGCTGTACAACTTTAGTATGCACAAGAAAAAACAATATAATCAAACAAAACCGCACTGCGAAGGCGCGGCGATGACAAGTATAGACAACATGCACACGAGCAATCGTTCTTGCCGTACAACCCGAGAAGAAAAATCGGACCGAGTCCATGAGAACTCTGTCCGCAACCGAGCGATAACCAATACGAAGAACACACAAGAAAACGAGAATGCATGAAGAATCACGGCACAAAGTCGATAGAAAGTAGCAAATCCGATTATTATAACAAAATAAAACATATCAGTATGGACACAGGAAAAAATGAGCGGGACTATACAACATCAAAAAATAAATGATCAAAATACTAAAACATCTGCATTAGACCAAAAATCTGCGATGCACCGAACTTTGCAATCAGGAAAAGTCCATATGTTGCTGATGTAGCCCGTTATGTCCTTCAGGGCTGAAGCCAGACTGGTCCCACTGGATGTCGGGGCTCATTTGGCTGCCACCGGTGAGATGAGGTGATGGATGAGCACCGGCCTGAGAAATCAACGGATCTCCTGTAAGGAGAGGATTTCCTCCCTAAATTGAGACTTCTGAGGATTGTTCTTTGTAATACTTACTTTGATGTTCAGTTTGTTTCGGGTCAGCAAAAAAATTGTAAATTAAGTTTTTGACACTTCAGTCTTCGCTTTTTTCACAAAGCCATCTCACTTCAGTGAGATGACTTTGTGAAAAAAGACATCATGTACTTGAAGAGCAAACGATATGTCAGAAGTCCCAATGCTTTTCCCCAAATTTGAAAACATTAAACATAACAAAATACACACCTGCAAGGTAGCCATATCATCCATCATGAGGTCAGGAAACGGTTGTTGCATGTTGTGATC